ACTGACGTTATCAGGTGGGGTTGATTCTAGCTTTTCAGCTAGCGCGTTTTGAAAGACGGCTAAGCATGCTGGTTGGGACAACTTATCGTAGTCTAACCGCCGCTGTGTCGCACTTTTAGGACGCCCACCGAAGCCCATGGACAGCTTGGTGTGAACTAACGCGCGATCGGGTTCGAGGGTAGTGCTCCAGTACGATCGGCAGTCTTGAATACAACCCCGCCATTTGTAGCTTATACCAATGTGGTCCATCTGCGTCCGTCACTGACTCAAGAGCAGACGCCAAGTGGCGTAACGGCAGTTGGAGCGTATGAAGTTCGTACTGATGAGGAAACGGTGGTGGTCGGAACATAAAGTCAACAGCCGCTTAGAGTTTTTCGAGCGACAGAAATCTAGTCCGAAAGGACCACCCAGATGGGCCTCACTCGAAGTCAGTCGGCCTACTCTAGCATTCATATCTCCTGCTTAAATCACGATATCAGCCCGATTTGCCTTACACAAGAGGTTGTGTAGCTTTTGGTAGAAAGTATCTTTAACTGTATCTGGGCTACAGTTCGTAGGTGCGTACGCTGAGAAGACAAACAAGTTGCGTCTTTCGGAGCGACGACTATTTACTTTGCACGAGCTTCTAAGTCTCACTGCGCATAACCTACTGTCGAATGGAATCCAATCCAGGAGCGCGGTTTCAGCTCTCACTGAGAGCCACGTCAACGCCAGCAAGACCAGAAGCCGCAGCCTCAGGGTCCCCAGAAAGACGCAGGTGAAACTTCGCGGATGGGTTTGACGGGGACTTCAATCGGATGGCGGAGTTAGCGTCTTCAATGCGAGTCTCTTGGATACAACACAAATCGATGGCTAGGGTCTCGGGGGTACGAGCTAAACATGCCTGTTGTCCTATACGCATCAAGGTACGCGCGTTAAATGTGGCTAGTTTGAATGGATATCGAGGACGAAGAAGAGCTTCAACTGGTGGAGGAAGATTCTGTGAGACTTGGACGCTATTCGAGGCAGGATGCGAAGGAAAAGGGACGGAATTTTCACAACTGGTAGTAGGATTGTCTGAAGATCTTAATAGTNAGCGTTTTTTCATGCTCGAGAACTGAAAGAGTCAGTTATTGATTAAGTTGAATTTCATTGTTTGCATTGTGGGCTTTTTGTACTACTCGGTCGCCCAGTCCAGAGTAGGCCTTGTTCGAGGATGCGCTCTAGCCTTTACGCAACCAAGCGCGAGCTACAAGGCAGCAGTATTGTTCCAAACAATCCGGTGTGCGGTCGGTTGGTTGATTCGCCTTCTCTGGAAGACCTTGTCGGGTTGATGGAATTCGACAAGGGGGCACTGACCGCATTCAGTGGCGGGCCACACTCACCACGTCACAGCGCTGATACTTGTGTTTTTTTGTGTGGAGAACCCTTGCCAAGTGGTTAACCCACCACATAATCGAGCACTACCGCTGATCATCCGCGACCGCTTATTCAGTGAGAATAAACCCACCTTATTCACAGTTAGCCGCCAATTAGCGACCTTTCCTCTATCCGCGACATGGGGACGCGCTCGGTAGCATACAACTCGGCTATGCTCTCTCTCTCTCTCTCTCTCTCTATATATATATATGTATATATATGCTTACGAACAAGCATGATACCAACGCCCCAACAATAATGAAATTAACAAAATAGGGTATGGGTGGATTGGGGTACAGAACGGAGTGAAAGGAAGGTGAAACAATTACAATGGAAAATAGTACATAAATGTAATGAAAAATCCCTTTTGTATGTTTCACCGTACATCTTTTGATATTTTTATGTTAGTTTTTCGTTTTTTTACGGGGCACGAGATTTCGACAGGCACGTACATCATTCGCGTCACTGACTTCTATTCTGGGCCGTATCTCTCAGCAACAATCCTCATCCCTTGGGCCCCTGGTATTGTGTTGCACCAACCGAAGCCAAAGCTGAAGGTAGCTTCTTTATACTTCTACGCTATGATATGGTCTGACCGCGGCAGTTCTCCTTCCAGCCTTACCCAACACGTGCAACGGGAGCACGGAAAGGTAGCCGATGGACAGGCATACACAATACGTGATCAAACCATCGGAGGCGATGTAGAGCGCTTACTCTTTTTAGAGAACGATTGTCCACACCCAACCTCATCATCACTCACCCGATGTTCTCATCAGACACGAGCAATGTTTCGGAGACATCGGTAGTTGAATACAGAAAGTCAATTAGTATCTTCCGCTCGGATGGACCAGGTCTCGCAACCGTGGAGCAGAACGGTACGATCCGCGGCGATGTATACTCTTCCCTTAAGGGACAGTGGGATGTCCGGGTGGCAATACAGGCGTCGGAGGTTGGCTTAAGTTGCCCTAGCTTTCGCGGACGACTATAAGCATCCAATACACGGTGATATACCTACTTGTTGCTCACCTGTTATTCCAACTAGACACAGCCAATGCTTCGAAGATACCGAAGCTGGAATACGGAAAGTCGATTAGCGTCCTCTTCGTGGAGAGGTCAGTTGTCAACCGTAAAGCTATGCATTGAGTACCGTAGCGACATATATTTCCCATTAAGTGAATATCGGATGTCATATCGGAACCTTAGATGTTGCAAGTTGACGGAAGTCACCATCAGAAGAATGAGGGAACAACAGGAGGAAATGGAAATTACCAATGGAAAAATTAAATGTTTTTCGGTGGCATTTTTGCCAAAGGCGTCAATCGAGTTAGAAGTTCGGAAAAGTAGGTCATCATTCAGTGGACTACAAAGAATGATTAAACACTGAAAGCTGAGGGCCTTTAATCCTCAGCGGAATTGGTACAAGGCTTTCTGTTAAGAGAGATGGAGATGGTGACTTGAAGTCGACTATGTAGGTGCCGGAGCCAATTCCGTCACGGAACATTTCGTTTGTCAGATACGGCCAAAAGCGTTCAGAATGTCCAGTGAAGCCAGGTGAGGTTTTCCATGACTAAGCGGTGACAAGAGTAAGTTTTCCAGAGCTGGGATTAACTCCGTTTTGTTTCTCTTCCAGGTTATTGTTGAGAAAAGTCCGAGGGCTCGTGTGGGTGATTTGGACAAGAACAAGTATCTAGTTCCATCCGATCTAACTGTGGGACAGTTCTACTTTCTCATTCGTCGGCGAATCCAACTTCGTGCGGAAGAAGCTTTGTTCTTCTTTGTTGATGATACCATCCCACCAACAAGCGTCACAATGGGTGCACTTTTTGATGTAAGTTATTCCAACCTTCGCCGCGTGAACAGTCTACGTTTACTTCTGCGACCCTGTTTTTTATCACATTGACCACACTGAGAGATGAATCTAACTGGGAACATATTGTAATGGAATGGCATGATTGACGGAGAAACAAGAACCAAATGAGGAAAGTTGTCCATGTAGAACCTTCTCGTGAAAAGGAACGGATTCGTTTCGTATACAGTATGCCAGACAGAGATATCCAAGGGACTTGATAGTTTAACGCAATGACAACAAATTTTCACTTTACTTGGACTTGCTTTTTATGCATCTCGCAATAAGCTTCAAGTTTTGTCATATTCTCAACACAAAGTTTAGTTAAGATTTGTTCCTATTCGCTCTCCCATATTTTCTATGATGTTGACGCAACCATGAGTAGTAACAACTACTCACAATACAATCAATGCTCTTCTGAATGCTACGTAGAACTGCACGTGTGTGTGTGTGCATGTCTGTCTGTCTGTCTGTCTATCTGTCTGTCTGTCTGTCTGTCTGTCTGTTTGTCTGTCTGTCTCTGTCTGCCTGTGCTGAGCAGTTAGCTCGAACGATGGCAAGTAGTCCGTATTCGGCTTATTCTTTTCAATATGAGCCTGTGAATTGATTCTTTGCAATCAGCCTCGGTTGAACTCGTTAGATACCTGTATGAGAAAGCCGAACAGCAATTGCTAGCTTACGTAAAGTTTTGTTTCATGTGTAGTTGTTTAAACCAATATTTATTTTCCCTATTCTCTGTACCATTTTACTCAATGTTATCTAACATGAATGGGAGACTAGCCAGGTGTACACAAAGCTCATGATAGCTTTACTTCATACAAGTAACTTTCAAATTTCCTTCTCTTACGTTTCAGGAACACCACGATACCGATGGATTCCTCTATATTGCTTATAGTGATGAAAGTGTGTACGGGTAGAATGCCGCTCAGTGACTCATATTGGAAGAGAACCATCGTTTGCACAGCCAGTCAACCTCAGTCCCATTTGTTTGTAACTTGACATGTGATTATCCAGACGTTCTTTCCATCTCTTTTTTTGTCACCTCGTCCGTTGACAGTAGCATTGTTGCCTCCTCAGGCTTTGCCTACCGATTCTTTCAACCGTTTGTGGATGCAGTCATTTTTTTCTAAATATTTAAACGAACTTTGGACGCTTCAGATGCTCCATCGAGACAATGCGACACTCAATAACACGTCTTTCTACGTTCTACGCTTTCTGCTCTTCCACGTTCTCTGAAATTGCGGTATGCGCGTTGCCGCGTATGGTTTGCCGATTTGATTAACGGTAACGAACTGTTGTCTGTCATGTATTTTTTCTCACAGGTGTTTCCAGTCCTTGTCGTCATTCGTTTTTCATAAATGATCACTTTGTTACGGCTCCACACATCGAGGCTTCTTTATCTTTGTCAGTCTTTTGGTCTTTTGGTGCTTAATTTTTTTTCTCGTATCACATATGAACAATCGTCCGGGTGCTTCAAATGATTGTAAAGCTCGCACGTTGCACATTCGCTCGTACACACCTTTCATTTGCGCACAGATAAAATGCACCGATCTTCTCCACCCACGCATATTTTTTACACTTCACTATCTTTTTTGTCGTGAAATCGTTTTCCAATTCATGTGCATCTTTCTCACCGTCATTCTCTTTTTCATTGTCATCCTCTACATTTCATCTACTTTGTTTTGGTTTGTTTATTATTCTATACACTCAGCATGTTGGTTATCTATTCAGATGAAAGCTGGTACAAAATATACCCATAAACAATCGGTTTGAAGTCATTATCTCTCGTCCATTATCCTGTTTGCGCGTTGTTCATCCTATCATGTTAACGTTCTACGTTTCGTTCCCTGTTGCGACAGATGGAAGTACTGTTGGACCCCTGCTGGTCATTTTCAGACACAACTTTTGCTGATTAGTGTACAACTTGTAACAACTTGTAAATTTTCAGTTTGTTGGGTTATCTAAGTGATCGCGTTGCCTTATTCAGTGTTTTGGTGAAAATTTCGCAGCTACCACCAAATTAGTCGTATCTTATCACCGTGTAGCTAAAGTCACTGGAGTGAACTCTGCTACTCACTGTCACACTCACTGATTAATTCAAAGTTACTGGGAATGACTATGTACGATGGGAAATTTATCTGCTTGAATGAGAAAACGAAATGAATAACTGTGATCAACACCTAGTTTACAATATGAGATAATTCCTCTGAAAACACCCTACTGGTTTCCTCATCCTTGCTGCTCGTCAACCGGTTATGCGTATCCGGATCAGTTCATTCATATAGAAACAAACCTACCCTTGTCAGAGGATTGAACAGTTGTTGAACAACCGTAGGAACAAGTCGCTCGCGTTCGGAACCAAAACAAGCATCCAATTACATCATTAATCGGAGTATAACTCAGGTATCTGCAGGGCATTTCCCCTCAGAAAGTCAAGGAGAGCCTTGTACATTCTAACGAGTGAAATTTCAGCATAATTTACAATCTTTCGACAAGTTTAGTCAAGAAATGTACCATGATCGAGCATCCTTAGTGTAGACTGAATCAAGACCCCATCCGCTCGCTAGTTCTGATTACCGTCCTCTCATCGGCGGCTGGTCAGTCTATGAACTTCAATGCTCGTGCTCGTAATTGGAGCACCCCGATGGCAAATAACTTGCCACTTGAATTTCTGCTCTCACCCTCCATTTGATCTTAACCAAAATACCAGCGCGTTTCGTTCTATGGGGTCGCATTCTACTTCGGTATGTACCAGTTTCAATGTAAGTGAACACCAAACCAAGGGCGATCAGGAACATAGCTGATTTTCGTTTTTACAAAAGCCATACATTGTTAATCACTTCATAAAATTTTTTCTACTGAAAAGATGTAGTGTCCCTGATACAACAGTGACGCTCAAATGATTCCCTCCTCCACGGGGATATGTGTTACTCTATTTCATTCAATATCACCATGCTCCTTCACAGGGTACTACTTTTAGAATTGAGCTAAAGCGCGGCTAACACTGATGGAAGAACGACAATGATAAAGATCAATACACTAAGACCGTCATACGCCGGCCCAACCTAAGTGAACGGACAGAATCAGCTGACCAAGCATACTGAAATTCAATCCTCAGAGTGAATAAAGCTTTTCTTGACTTAACTCAGAAATTTCGGAGGGAGAATGCTCTGCAGATAATTGACAGTAATGCTCCAATGAATGATGTGATTAGACGGCTATTTCGGCCCCGAACGCGAGCGATTTGTTCGCATAGTTGTTCTCCATTACTGTGAACTCATAGTTGGTGTGTACACACTCAGCAAAAAAGAAATTGCGCAAGTCTGTTGCAGAATACAAAATTACTCGCATTTCTGCCTTCCTTGTTTTATTACTAAATTTATTGGTCCCACTGTTCTAAATTATACGACTGACACGTTGCCTGTCACAAGTTGGGTTTGAAATGTCAGTAGGCTTGTAAATAACCGTCATCTGTAATGGGAAAAGTTTGGCGCCATCATCAGTTGATCAGAATAATTTGGTGGATCTTTTATATCTTGCTCCCTTATTTAATACATACTCGCACAAACAATTTTTAGGAAAGGGATGCTGCCAACCAATAGTGTACTGGACTGCAGAGCAAAAGACGTA